ATATTAGTATTATCATTATCATTATTATTATTGTTATTGTTATTTATCTTTTCGAAACATGTTACGTTCAGTTCTTGTGACCATTACAAGAAAATGTCTTTAAAGAGATCACAATGACACTGTTTGAAATGTGGTTATAGCTGGTTACTTATAGCTTGTTACTTTTAAAGATTTTTAAAACAAAGTTCTCTTTTTTTATGACTTGTTACTGTTCATTTTCCAACAAAGATCTCTTTAATTTCTCACTGTTTTCTTTTGCTAATTTTCCAGAAGATTTCTCTGTTTAGTGCTATTTACTTTTGCTCATATCCCAGCAAAGTTCTCTATTTCTCTCTGGTTACTGTTGTTCCTTTTCTCGCAAAATTACCGTTGCCAATTTCCTAACAAAGTTCTGTATAACTGTACTTCTTTACTATTGCTAATTTTCTAACAAAGTTAACTATTTTTCACTGTACTGTCTCTCCTATTCCAACAAAGTTCTATATTTTTCACCAGTTGGTGTTACTAATTTTCAAGAAATTTTCTCTGTTCTCACGATTTACTTTTGCTAATTTTCCATCAAAGTTTTCTATTTTTCACTGTTCACTTTAGCTCAATTTCAATAAAGTTCTCTATTTTTCTCTGTTTACTTTTGCTCATTTTCCAAAAAAGTTCTTTATTTTTCACTCTTCACTTTTGCTAATTTTCCAACAAAGTTTTCTATTTTTCACTGTTCACTTTAGCTCAATTTCAGTAAAGTTCTCCATTTTTCACTGTTTACTTTTGCTCATTCTCCAGCAAAGTTATCTAATTCTGTAGGTGGTTGGCGGGTGCTTTGTTGTGGTTTGCTCCTTTCCTATCAAACATCTATCGTCTTGATCTCTCCTCCTCCTTTTTTTATGTTTGCTACTCTCTTGTAACACCTCTAATCTTCGGCACTTATATGACTTTATTTTGTTGCAAGTGCCGTAAAACTCTAACTAAAAAGGTTCTCTAATCTATAATTTCCCCGCACAATTTGTGTCCACAGACTACCGCGTTCACGGCTACACTGAGGCGACTGTGCAACGAGGCCAAGGGACGTAACTGCGACACCCTCAAGGTCCACGAGGCGACAGGGGGAAGAATTGTGGGATGTAATTTCCTCCCCTTGCAGGCGGAGACCTTCCATGGTAGGTCGGGAAGTGAGGGGTTCTTTTTATGGGCTCTGGTCAAGGGAAACGTTGTGGGGACTTTAGGAACTACCTTTTAAAACAAATATTACTCGTACTTGTGCACACAGCTAGATCATTAATGAAATGGAATTGCAATGGCGCACGTTTTCTTTTCTTTTTTCTTGGTTCATATTTTTTTGAAAGAGCTAAGGTGAAGACAAGGGCCAGGGGTGTACCTGAGAGGCACGAATTACCTTGCTGCAACAAAGGTATGACATCGATTCTTGTGCAGGGGTTAGGGTGGAGTGGGGTGGGGGTGGCAGGGAGGGAGGTGAGAGAGCTAAGGGGGGGGGGGGAGGAGGTGGCGGATTTTTTCTTGTGTGTATATCCTTTTGCTGGGATGTAGTAGTATGCTCTGGCTATGGATTGCTCCTGGCAAGAAGAATGACGGCCGATTTACTGCAATGTTATGTGAGTTGTGTTCCTAGGGGCATAATATGTGACACAAAACGGTGGAATCAGGCGCTCGTCAAATTTTGGGCTCGGGGAGTTACTGATATCATATCACCTTCATCATCATAATCATCCTCATCGTCATGATCATCAACACATCATCATCATCATAATCATCAACATCATCATCATCAACAACAACAACAACAACAACAGCAACAGCAACAACAACTAGAACAACAACAACTATAGCAACGACAGCTACAATAGTATCAACAACAGCAGCAACAATAGCAACAGCAACAACAACAAAAAACAATAACAACAACAATAACAACAACAACAATAGCAACAATAACAACAGCAACAACAACAACAACACTCTAATCATCTCTCCCCCCCCCCAACCCCCCCTCCCACCAACCCTCCCAACCCACCCACCCCTCACCCACCCCACAGACCTGAGCCTGTCCCACATGGAGGCCGTGGTGGCCAGAGAGGTGACCCCCCTCCTCCAGTCCTCCCGCCACATGCTCTCCCTGGCCTTCTCCTTCGTGGTCTTCCTCCTCTGCTTCCGCCTGCTGTGCCAGGCCGGCGCCACCACCGCGCGCCACTACCTCCTGCTCACGGGCCGCCTCCCGCGCGTGCGCGTGTACCAGGCGGAGGAGCAGACTCAAACCCTCAACCGCTCGGGCGTGCACCGCCACGTGATGCAGCGCAGCCAGTCGTGGGTGGACAGCTGTGAGAGCGGCGTGTATGTCGGGGAGGGGGAGGACTCGGCCGCCAACAAGTTGGAGGAGAGTAATGTGAGATAACGCGACCCGCCGCACCGCACCCCTCCCTCAACTTATTGTTCATTATTTACACGCGTGTGTAGAAGGGCGTGGCATCTTTGGTGCCCCAACGGTCGTCTAAGACGTGAACATTTGATTACTTACACGAATGTGTAGTTCGGCGTAGCTTCATTGGTGGCTCAACGGTCGTCCTAAGACGAAGGGATAAGCCCACGCCCAAGAAGGGTAACGCTTTTTTACTTACGTGACACGCTAAAAACCCAGAGAAACGGACAACACACGCTGTCAGTCGAAGCAGAACGGAATAACTAACAACTATTTCATGCGCCAGTGGCGTCGAAGATTCTGACTGACAGTTGCAGCTGTCGAAACGGCTAGATAGATAATATAGCCTTGACCAGGGGGAACAACAGCCAGTCCTTTGCTCGCCAAAAGCCTGTCAGTGTCTGGAGTCAGGTTGCGAAATATGTGCAGAGATCTGTGTTTCCGTGCTAGTGTTTGGGCGATCGCTGTGAACACCATAGTCCTCAGCTGTGAACGCTGTAGACTGTCGAGGAGAATTTGGAAGAGTTTGACGACGATATCGTGTTCGGAGATGATGACAATGTCGTCCTGCTGAATATTTTGAAGACCTCGTCTCGTTGGAAAGGTCTACTTCGATCCATTCCTCTTCCACCGATCTTCCTCTGAAAAAAAAAAACCCAGCCTTCCTATAAAAAAAGTTGAAAACATATTACTTCCTGACCAAGTTCCACGTAGTTGGAAAACCATGACGACATCTCTCTCTCGTGTCCTCTCACAATTCAGACAGACAACTGATACAGGATGTGTCTTCACCAACACCAACCACAGACACACGATGAGTGATGTGTCTTCTCCAACTTAGACCACAGACACATGACCTGTCTTCACCGTCACAAACGACAGACACACGATTTGTGATGTGTCTTCATCGACACAAACGACAGACACACGACGTGTCTTCACCTTCTGACCTCAAGTCACTCCACACAATCATGTCACTGACATATTACTATTCGTCCGACGTGTCTCACCGACCCAAAGACCTTGACCTTGGCGATCTAGAGCCTAGAACTATCTTATATTCCAGTTGTTGTTTTTTTCTATTGTTTTTGATGATAGTACTGGGAATGTATAAGTCGGCAGAATAGAGTGACAGAACAAAAACAAACAAAAATGGAACAAGGGCATTGACCGTAATAGTTTACAATTTTAGGCTCATAGGGTTATATTTTTAACTGACATGGCATCTGCGACGAAAGCTCAAAAAAGCCTAGGCTAGTGTTCAAGATAGAATTCAGCTTGTGAGATGTAAAAGCCACTTTTGTCATGGAAAAGTAACTTGTGTCACGGAAAAGTCTCTCGTGTCTTATATAGTCACTTGTGTCATGAAAAAGTCACTCGTGTCTTGAAATAGTCACTCGTGTCATGGAAAAAATCACTCGTGTCATGGAAAAGTCACATGTGTCATGGAAAAGTAAAACGTGAATCTGTCATGGAAAAGTCACTCGTTTCATGTAAACGTCAGACAGCGACTTATATCAGCGCCACCCGCCACATCTCCCAACAGATCATCCTGACGTCACCAGCTGGGACCCGCCATGCCAATGATCTGATTTGTGACATCGGGATCTCAGACTTATCTTTTTTTTTAAAGAACGAAAGGGTAACAGTTTTTGTGCCCCACATTCATTGGTGATACCTTTTCTTATATCCATGAGAGATTCGTCAAGGATACCCGTGTAGCCTACTTGGACACAGACCTGCAGTCTTGTCGGTACTGTCTGCTGTCTGTCTGTCTGTCTCTTTGTTTGTTTGTTTGTTTGTCCCAGATGTCCGTGATTCCTGTGTGATAAAACAATTAATGTTAGTAAACGCCATTACGTTCAAAGGCCAAGCATAACTTTGATGATGAAGGGCCAAGCAGCTGTATGTATAATACAATATTATTGTTGAAGCGAAGTCGACCTAGAGAACGTTTTCCATGATCTTGTCTTGTCCTTTCGTCTCAGACTAGAGTGATAATATTATATCCATGTTTCCTTCTCGTGAAATTCCAAAACTGTTAAAGTTAAAGTAAACGTATTTGCTTGTATTGAAAACTTCTACAGAATAAATGTTAAGCAGGGATCCATAGAAAACTACCTCTTCCGTACAGGTAAGCAATTTATTATAGAAAACACATTCTGGGTTTATTGACTCTTAACTATTTTAAGATGAATACATAAATGCTTTAAACTAACCTTAGCTGGTCATTTGGAATTCTGTGGCTCAACAATACATAGATGTAAATCTTCTTTTTGTGGCTTTTAAAACTCAAAGGGGCTGTCCTGAAAAATGCTGTTTTGAGAAAATCGAAGGAAAAGTTTATCGTAGGTAAAGTTTTTCGACTCTTGTTCAGTTTCTTTAAAAAGCAAGAATAGTTTTCTCTATAGCCTGACAAATATACACACCAATGAAACCAAACTTCTACTATAGGTAGAGCAATGCCCACTTTTTGGGTAGGTCAAGATTTCTGGAAACCCCCACAAACTGGATTAGCCCGCTTGTCCTTACTAGTGACCATTTGTTATATTATTATTATATTTTCTTTCCCGAAGATTTATTAGATTTCTCGAAGAGAAATGATTAGAAGATAAGTATGAATACTTATTTTTTCAGTATACTTATAAAAAAGGGACAATGTTTTTTTGGTTTTTTCCTTCATGACTCAAAAAGTGGTCACAAAGAAATGTTGGTATGTAGTGATATTTCAACACACTTATATTATATACGTGATTAGAGTTATTTTGCTTCCAACTCTGCCATGAATACAACTTTGAATATTCAAATAATCGCAAGTCTTTGATTGTAATATAAAAGCGGACAAATTCTCGTTTGTTTGTTTTTAAAACAGTTCTACTTTTGTTTCCGTTGTTATTGTTGTTGTTCGTTTTATTTTTAATTTCATCTTTGTGTGAGTGCAATGATCTGTTCTGTGGGTGGTCAGTGAACGCATTTCAAACTGTATAGAAACAATCATTGTAAAACTGTATGTCTGATCAGTGAACGGGAAAACTACATTATGCTAGAGTATAATTATAATGCCTATGTGTCTCGACACGGTGGAATCAGGCGCTCGTCAATTTCTTTATTTTTTTTTTTACATGTGGAGCTATTGGTATCATTTTAAGGCTTGTTCATTTGTCATGCTTTCGGTGAAAAAATACTCATCTCTCATGAATAAAGGTCGAAATATCTGGGATTGAAGGAGGGTGGTGTTGCTGGATTCAGAGGTAAAATTGGTGAAAAGAAATGGCTGCCAAAGTAAAGCTTGACACTCCTTAAAAACTGCACGTGTACATTTTTGTGCCTTAAATCGACATTTTTCAGTAAAATTCGTATAGAAATGTGTTTTTACGTGGACATTAAAGGAGTTGAATCAAAAAACAAAAATTAGATAAAAATTGCCAAACCGACATATTAATGCCTTTTTCGTCGATTTATTTTTATTTTTTTGACGAGCACCCGATTTCTCACCCACAATGTCTCACACAGAACAACTTGCTCGTACTGCCTGGGAGTGGTGTAACGTTATCAAAAGTCAACTTCACTTTGGAATACACAATCCCATTTTTTGAGATGTGACGAAACCAACATTGGCAGACACGTTAGTATATTGGCAACTAGATCTAGATGGTGTGTTTGTTTGTGTGTGTGTATGTGTGTGTGTGTGTGCGTGTGTGTGTGTGTGTGTGTGAGTGTGTGTTTGTGAGTGTGTGAGTGTGTGTGTGTGTGTGTGTGTGTGAGAGAGAGACAGACAGACAGACAGACAGACAGACAGACAGACAGACACT